GTGCTGCATAGACGTCTCACTATCGACACCCCACTCCAGGTGGCGGTAATAACTTCTATTAGATAAAAAAAAACACAGAAGTAAAATTAGATGTAGAAGAAGAAGAGGCATGCAGCAAGATGAGGGCGGAGCTAGACGACTCACCTGATGTTCTTGTGTTTCAAATACATGGGCCAGACGTGGCCATCGAACAGGCCGGGGGGGTCTGGCACAGTGTAGTTCCATGAGCTGTGTGGGGACGAGCTGTGACTGCTGTTTCACTAACAACAGATAGATGAACCTCCTGTCACACTCGGAGTGATCATCATGCACTTACACGAGGTGCTCACAGGGTCGTCATGAATGTGAAACATCGCTCTTTAATGAATTAGTCTTATTTTAAAATGTATTTATTTTATATTTGCAAATCAGGAGATGTTTTTCTTTTCTGTGTTTTCTTCTTTCTTTATTTTGTTTTGTTTAATACACTACAGCCGGTACTCACGGTTACAGGTACTTCTAAATGACACTGCCAGTTCAAAAATAAATCAGGGGAACACAGAATTAGGCCTTCAGGACTTTTTGTTGTTTTTTTCTGCTGTAATGAATTAGTACTGAACTGTGACCTCCTGATAATAACTCCTAATAATGTGTTCTAATCGTTCATTTAAAGTTAGTGCTTTGTGAAGTCACACTCTGTTGTGTGTTTGTCTCAGTCCCTCCAGTCCGTCCTCCCATGCTGAGACCGGCCTTTGTGCCCCACATCCTGCAGAGACCTGGTGAGATCATCTTCACACTTTTATTTGACTGGTTTATTCCTTTGACAGAAGTCGATATTTTCAGAAACATTTAGAAAGTAAAAACTTGTTTGTGTGTTTCTGTGTCGTCAGGCGGTCCGAGGATGCCCATGATGCGTCCTACCATGGCCCCTCCCCTCCCCCGACCCCCTCCGCCTCCTCCCATGATGCTCCCTCCCAACCTGCAGCTTCAGACACCTCCAGGAGCTCCTCAGCCCATCCAGCACATGGCCCCTCCTGCGCCTGCCCCTCAGGTCTGTGTCGCCGTGACAACAGTCTCAGCTAACATAAATGAAACGGGTAAACTTTTCCCGTCTCATCTGTTACTGTCTGACCCCCCCTGGTGTGTATCGATGTGTCTGTCTCAGGTCAGGGAAATGGTCCCAATGGTGTCGGGCCCTCCCATGAGGCAGGGACCCCCGCCTCCCATCAAACCCACGCCGTCAATCATCCAGGCTGCTCCGACCGTGTACTCTGCCCCTCCTACTCCTGCAGGTCACAAACGGATCGACGTCCGAGCTCAGAGACAGGCCAGAATGGTATCTGCAGTTTGCCTTTTGTCTTCCATGAGTGTTTTCTACAGACGGCAGGAAGTTTGCATTCTGACTCGACTTAAGATGTTGTAACTTGGCCGGCATCACTGTAAAAGACAGAGCTGCTTGGGGGCATTTAAAAGCAGTATGGGGTCATTTATAGTGTTGCTGCTTTTCCATCAGGCAGTGAGCCGGTCTCAGCGTCTCTCATGTGAACGTTTCAGGAGGAGCTGGCGGCGCGCGTGGCAGAGCAGCAGGCTGCAGTGATCGCTGCAGGTCTGCTGGACAAGAAGGAGAGCGAGGACAGCGGCAACGTCATCGGACCCAGCATGCCCGAGCCTGAACCCCCCCAGCCTGAGGTACTTTACAGAAGCAATCTTTTCTCCATCTGTTTTTCTGCCTTAACACAAAAGGATAAATCATTTCCTTTTTCCTTCAACGTGTTCAAACCTCACATGTTGTGTGTTCGTGCTTCAGCCTGTAGAGAGCGCCACAGAGGACAAGAAGAAAGGAAAGGGGGAGAAGGTGAAGAAGTGCATCCGGACCGCAGCAGGAACGAGCTGGGAGGACGCCAGTCTGCTGGAGTGGGAAACAGGTAAATAAATAAACCCAAAGGTTGCCGACGTATCTGTGAGATTGAGACAGAGTGCAGGAGTTTGCCTTCAGATTTTTTGGTTATTAAAACAAGAAATCATCTAATGTTGGCTGCCTAGGACTTCTAGTTTTGTTGCCGTGGTTTCCAAACAGGAATCGTATTGAAGTTTAACATGTTGGTGTCATGATCATGTTGAAGTCATGAGATGAATCTTTAAATGTTCCTATGAATTGGATGTGACTGTGTTGATACTTCCAGCTGCAGGATGGAGATAAAACGTTCACGTGGTGAGAAAGTAACTAACATGTTTTCTCTCTCCGTGTCTCAGATGATTTCCGTATTTTCTGCGGCGATCTTGGTAACGAGGTGAACGACGACATTCTGGCTCGAGCCTTCAGCAGATATCCGTCTTTCCTCAAAGCGAAGGTTTGAGCTTTTCTTTCTTCTTTTATGTTTGGTGACTCTCTTTAAATAATGACAACTGGGGAAAAGAACAAGGGACTAAGAATAAGCATATTTTAAACAATTCTTTATTTACAAAATCAGAAAACTTTACAACTAAAAACAACTTTTAGGAAACACAAACAACTAAAGAGAAGCTCAGCGATGTTCAACAAAAGACTTTTAACCAAAAATCAAACGTTATGTAAATATTAAACTTGTTAATCAAAGAGCCAGTCCTCAACAGCTGCTGCATCTGGAGCTGTGTATTTTAATAAATAAAATAATAACTATTATTATTATTATTATTATTATTATTAATAATAATAATAAATAAATAGATTAAATTAAAAAATATATTTTAATACATAAATGTAATAATTAATAATACAAAATAATTAATAATAATTATATAATAATAATAATAATGAAATAAATTGTATTTTAATGTTTAACATTTTGCTCCTTAAGCAGACTTGATTACTTGATAACACTCGTTACTGGCCTCCCCAACAGAACCACAGAGAAGCTTCAGCTCAGTCAAAACTCTGCAGCTAGGATTTGAACGAGAACCAAAAAGGAGAGAGCACATTAGTCCAGTGTTAGCCTCTCTGCACCCGCTTCTGCTAACTTTTAGAATAGATTTTCAGCTCCTCCTCCTTGTATACAAAGCTCTAAATGGAACAGGACCGAGCTACATGACCAACATCTCTTGTCCACTATGTGTCCTCAAGGACACTCCGATCTTCCTCTACTGGCCTATTGAAGGTTCCCAGCAGCAGCCAAAAGAAAATCGTACCTTTAGATATCAGGGAGGCTAACTCACTACATATTACAACTTACTTCTGCACCTTTAGAGTTTTTAGTGAGGTCAGGCTCGAGGTGGTGACGTCAGAAGGGAGTTTGACTTTTATGCCTTTTTAATGTAATTTCATTATTATTTCATGCTGTTTTATTATGTGTTGCTCATTTTGTCTTTTTCTGCTGTAAAGCACTTTGAGCTGCAATACAAATAAAGTTTGTTATTATAGTTTGAGACAATAATCAAAGTTGTCGTTGTTGTTTGATTGTTGTTGTTTGATTGTTGTTGTTTGTTGTTGTCACTGTCAGGTGGTGAGAGACAAACGAACAGGAAAGACAAAAGGTTACGGCTTCGTCAGCTTCAAGGATCCAAACGATTACGTCCGAGCCATGAGGGAGATGAACGGTGAGTCTGATGATGACGATGCAAACACTCTTCGTTTATACGACCTCCACTCTGATAAATAACTCGGCGTCTCGCATTTGTTTTCAGGGAAATACGTCGGCAGTCGACCCATCAAGCTGAGGAAGAGCATGTGGAAGGACCGAAACATGGAGGTGGTCCGCAAGAAACAGAAAGAGAAGAAGAAGCTGGGCCTCAGATAGTGTGTGTGTGTCTATGAGTGTGTATGTGTGTATTGCCCCCCAGTGGACAGACTGCAGCACTGCAGGAGAGCAGGACTGTTATTTTAATCTGTCCAATCAGGAGACGTTCTGGAGTTGTATAGAGTTGAAATATTTCTTCATTCAATAAATTCATCATTTCTAAGTCGTTGATATGAAGACTGATCATTTTACTTTCTGTGTTTACATAGCTGTGGTGACGCCACCCCGGGGTCTGTAGACTTTACTGAAGCTTTGAGTTCTGACTTTTGGTCTTGGCTGGGAGCGATTGTTTGGAGGAGAAAGGAGTGAGGAAACACCAGCTAGTGAGGTGCTTCCTTTACTAACGAGGGCATTCTTAATGAATAAACACAGCTGACTCCTCAGAGTGTCTTTAAGTATGATCTATCGCTAATCAAGACATTTCTCATGTTGCCATGGTAGTGACCTGTCAATCCCATGTAGCCCCGCCCTAAACCCTCCCCTAGCTCTAAACGGGACCATGCTTCATAAAATGAACATCATGCTGAAACTACAGATTGAGATCATGAACTCTAAAGAAAACGTTTAACTGAGGTAGAACCATTTTATAAACTTCTATTCAACCAGACTGCTTTGTCGCCCCCTGCTGGACATTATGTAACTCTGACACCTAGTGTTTAAAATGGGTACTGCAGTCCAAATTCTAAACATTGCAGAGAGCTTTTCTCTCCCCCCCTCCATGCTCACTCAGGTCACCATGTGGTGGACTCTGAAGCTTCAGTGTTTATCCAGCTCTGCATGGGTCTGTAAACCTTTCTGTGTTCTAACCTCTCTCTATTTTTCAAAAGCATCTCCAATATTGATCCTAGTTTGAGCACGTTTCTGCTCGTGGAGCTTATTAGAAACATGCAGAGGCTTTTTAGGTCGGGTACAATCACTTCTATCTGAACCACTTCTCTTCCATCACTGCAACACCTGTTGACCTGATAACTGCTCTCATATCTGGGAAACCGAGGGGCGTCCAAAACGGCCGTGTGGGGGTGTTCTTAAAACCGCCTACCTTCTCTGGTCCAAACAAATCCAGAGCATTCAGGAGCAGAATCTAAAGTTAGAAGGAGGACATACTGGCTGCTGCATTGTTGTCAGAGAAGCCAGCACTTCAACATAGCATGTTTCCTTAATGATCAGATAGTAAGATACCTTTATCATTTAGTATTTTGCACATTTGACCCAAAATGTATCATGGAAATCTCCAAAAAGTTAGACAACTCTGTTTGAAACAGTTTTTTTTACTTAAATTACTCTTTATAAAACAATATTAATTTTACACAGCGACACTGAAGACAAAGGGACTGAACACTGCAGCTCCATTGTCTTTACATTCACAGCTGATGAAGCAGATCTGAAGTTAGTGACTGCGGATCATGAATCAAAGAAGCGGTCGGCTCTTCACGCTGCAGTCTGACACGACGGAGGTCATGAATCTGTTTTTAAATGCTTTAGTGAATTTCTTTGTAAACAAACAGCTGGTGCAGTGATGATCCAGCATTCATCAGATGAATCAAACCACACTTCCCAGCAGCTCCTCGGCGGCGTTCCGTCCACCAAAGATGACGTCATTCACTGACACGCCGTCGTAGGAGGAGCCAATCAGAGACAGCGGCAGGTTGTTCTTCTTTATGAAGCTGCGTATGGACTCTGGAGAGACAGACACATTTTGAAAAGGATGATTAACAGTGCAGGATGTGATGTCAGTCACAGGAGGAAATCAGGACATAAGAGTTCCTGCAGTACGACCACATTTCTAAAAAGTCTGGACACTGTGTCAGATATTAATAAAAACAGAATGTGAAGAATTTCAAAAACATTAAAACAACAAATTTGATGGAAAAAAGCACAAAGACAACTCGTCAAATGTTGAAAGGGGACATTTCACTGTTTAAGGAAAATTATATTCCTGATGGTGACAAAATGTTTCAGAAAAATGTGGACAGTAAAAGTTGTGAAATGCTTCAAAAACACCCGGTGAACATTTCACTTCCTGCTGTAAATGTCGATACTCACCCACTCTCTGAAAGTGTCCCAGGTAGTACTGAGGGATACAGTCCTGATGAGACACAAACAACAA